CTTGGTCTCGGACATCAAGGTCTCAGATACTACACATGGTGTACGGTACATGTCCCTGTCCGTGATTGTGAGCCTTACCGGCGTGGTACGAGATGAATACTGTACATGTACATACATGTACTATGCAAAATGTAGGTTCTTTGAGTTTTAGTTGAAGTCTCAAGTTGCTGTCCCTATTTGATTCTCAATACTGATCATCAAGAGTTTTACTTTGGTTCATGAGTTTCCTCTACTGTGAGTTTAAGTCACTTGCTTCCTTACACAGTGTACCGGTACTTTCGTGCTGTACGTGTAGATGGGGTCTCATCTCGTCACTCATAACGGTGCACAAATAATGCGGTGGAATAAATCCACATTTGCCTTCCAAGCTACATGTAGAACTTGTTTCATTTAACGCAAAATTTCAGACATACTGGTACATGTACCGGTATGAGTATTCCTTTTTTTTAATGTGCTTTTGTATTTAATTTTCGATTTATTATTTGAAGTTGACGTCACTGATGTTTGCTAACCTTGGTTCATGTTTACGCACAGTAATTTTGTGCAAAGATAGAAAGCCTGTTGATATGTCTGGAAACAAGTCTGTAAACAGTTGAACTGGAAAGATAAACAGTGTACATGTAATAATTGCTAACAATGTGTACACACACGCACCTGTACATGTCTGTACATGTACATGTAGCTGTACATGTACACTACTGTACTGTACCTGTGTACATGTAGCTTACATACATTGTATGTATACATGTACACGTACAATTCATGTCATAAAACAGCATGTAAAGATGTATGTATTTACATGTATGAGCATATTTCAAGCACCAGAAAAGCGACACCATGTACATGTATTGTAGATCACCCATGTGCACAGTCTGCATGATACAAGTTCATAATGTACTTATAAATAGTTTCTGTGTTTGTCTCCTATGAACCATACACTGTATATACATGATGAACTGTAAAGTTCCTCATTTGGTCAAAACATTACTCAGATGTGTACACTTCACTCGCCATTCTTTGAGAGTTACCGACCGGTAAATTTTATCACACAATAATTATGCTCAAGATTGACCCTTGCACTTGGATTGAAGTTTGAAAGATTTCCAAGAGTCTAGTGTGTGCAAGTCATTCTCATAAGCACAATGTAGACATGCAGGATAAATATCAATGCAGTAAAGGAAAAACTAGATTTCTGCTGTCAGATCACAACACACCGTGAGTGTCAATTGATGGAGGATGTGAAGGGCGGGGAAACATCCCCTCTCCCCCCCCTTTTTTATTGAAGGGATTATGTGGTTTGGGTCCCGGCCCTCCCACACACACAAGTGTGTATTTGCCTGCAACTGGGGACCCCCTATTGTTCCTCTTTTGTTTGTACTTAAACTTTTTTAGAAGACCACCCATATGTTTTGTACACAGTTGTCAATTGGGGACCCNTCTATTGTTCAGGGTCCCCAATTGAATGCAGAAACAAACTCACACACACACAATTTTGTAAGAGGCTTACCGGTATTTGAAAATGAAATGCATGTAACTCTTGCACAAGTGTTGCACCCGTATAAAAACCATTTAACATGTCAGAAATTGTCTCAGATAGCACCACATGCAGAGTACCTGGTACATATTGTGCATGTGCCGGTATCCCAGATTTTTGTGGGGTAAAGTGAGCCCTGGACCCGATGCCCATCTAGGGCTTCTTGTTTTGTTCTGATCAAGGTTAACTTTCCCCTCCCACATTTTCCAGAATCCATTGAACGCCCTTGAAACACACTAATGATGGATTGCCCATGCCATTTGATTGCATACCAAGCGGTTACTGGGTACATATGGCATATACTGTATTCCACATTCCAACCCTCCTGCAATTACATGTTTATACCAACATACATTGTACATGGACACATACAGTCCTATGTACTTGTAGATGTGCCGGTACCGAGTATTTCTGTGCCTGATTCAGAAGTTTGGGGAGCAATTCAGACATAAACCAAAAGTGTTGCCTGCATGGCACTTTCATCGATCCTGTGGAGTATATGTACATGTACATGTATTTCTACAGTGTCCCATAAGCATTTGGCACAGTCTAAGAGGCAATGCTGTCATGTACACATGTACATGTACCTGTTTAGTACATGTACTGTACATACTAGTACCAATACGCGGTACATTAGAGCCAGTAAAATTATTAAAGGATTAGGCTCAAAAGGAGGACTTCAATTTTTTTGCTACCACCAGAACAGCAAATTTTAAAATTTAAAAGCACAAACAATTAAAACAGCCCACGACAAATGAAAAATGGCCGCTGTGATCATACTTTTGTCATTCAGAAACTTTTCTGTTGATGCAAGTCATGTATACATGTTTGACATGATAGTGGTCAAAGAGTTTTTTTGCACTCTTGGGAGCTGATGGTACCCAATTGCCTTGTGATCAGGTGCTTTACATGTACTTATGCATGAATAATAGCGGGTTCTCCCTTGAGGTACGGTATGACATACATGTACATGTAGTTTGACCACCATGAAAACTTTTGAATAAAACAGTCACAGTACAGACAACATTGATATCATTCACATGTAAAGGCACATACATGTACATGTACCATACGGTACATGAATACATATACATGCTTGTATGTACATGTATGTAATGTACATGTTTACATGTATCTACATATACCGTAGGACTGTATAGGGCTCAAAATCTGGCACCGTGCCCTGTACATGTAAAAAGCGATTGCTTATCAAAGGCCATGGAGTTGCCACCTTCTCCACCTGCAACGGGACGTCTGCCGCAGACATGTACCAGTACATGTACATGTTTCTCCCTTCCCTCATACATGTATATGGAGACTGTCTCATCTGCGTGTACAGCAGGGTGAAAAACAATTCACAGCAATCAATATCCTACGTGTACAGCGACAACTGCTGAGATTCCCAGAATTCTTCCCCTTGGCGCACCTGGCTGCTTGAAGGACCTTTCTGGTTGATTTATATGTACAGGTTATGCATCCGTGGGCATTGTCGTCATGTCCGCTTTTTACTGTCAGAACTCTGGAGGACGTACATGTACAAGTAATAACCAGATCAGACTTACGACATCATACACAGCGCACATGTGTGTTCTTGTTGTGCACGTGTGACCTTTGAGTTGGTGTCATCCCTTCTTGACTTTTTGGCGAAGACCGTGTGCAGTACAAGCGGTGACGCTGTCACAGATTTGGTTGAATATTCATGAACTCCGTAACACCGGTAGCTGTCATTCCTTATTCAGTCAGGTTCTTATGCACATATAAGCATGCGTCCGTCCCGCCCACCACAGCTGTGGTAGTCAAACCATGGTATTCCACAGAGCTCTGCAGGGAATTGTAGTGTTGAAATGCCATGTGTGCATTATACATTACTGGTAGTAGAGAAAGGCCGTGTCCGAAACGGGCTTCCAGAGCTACGGCTACGGTCTATTGTCTGCGCGTCTCTGTGCATTTCCAATAGAGCGAATACCAAGACCTAGCTCTAGACAAGAGATTCAGATGCAGCCTAATACTCTAGTGTGGGTGGCTTATTAGGGTCCCATGATGTGCCAGTTACATGAATATGTGTACCTCCCTCATTTCTGAGAACTTTGTAAAATTGGGATCAATTTGCCCTGAATTGAAGCCCCTTTATTGGCAAAAAAGAGACAGGTTATTGGGAATCGTTTCCTTCGGGTGCTTCAGCGCACTCACGGAGATCATGTTTGTTCAATATACCGTATTCCAACATGACAGCACTTGGTCACAAGAACTCAGAATGTCCGATGCCAAAGGTTCATTAATCTATGCTGGCACGCCATGAGTTCCCAACAAAGGACCACTGTTGCTACCATGTGGGATTGCTTGTTCCCACATGGAGTGGATATGACAGAAATAATTGTACTCTATAGTGGAATGAGTGTGGTACATGTGTAGAGATATACAGTTACACATTTACCTGTAGGATGTGCCGGTAATCTGAGAATAAATAATTCACAAACCCATGTTATTTATTTATTGAACCGGGGCAATTTAAAATCCCTATCAGTTATAAAAATACCCCTGTATTCATTTGTACAGAAATATATTGCACTGCAAGAATCGTGATTTTATTAATTTATCTAGTAGGGTTATTATTATTTTTGATTTTAACGTAGGTTTAGCTGTGATTCGTTATTTTAGTGTCACCGTGTGTGGTATAATTACTTTTCGTTTATCGTAGGTAGGGTTAGAGGCGTCTGTCCCCGGGAAAGATCGAGACATCACTGATGCCAGTAGGGTAAGGTTCTCCCTGTTGGCAGGGCAGACGTATCCCCATACTGTGGTTTGGGTACTAGCGCGGTGACATTCATTCATTTATCCTTATTCATTTATCCTTATCCTTTCATTTCTTAAATGAGTTTTTTTTTACGTTAACTTGTACTGCGCCGTTGATCATTTTTATGGAAACGGCGCATTATAAATGTTCAATTATATTTACAAATAGGTCATTTGGGAGACATTTTGTGGTAAATTTTTTAGCATTAGGGAGACATTGGCTTTTTGGGAGACATTTCAGTGTCTCCCTATTTTCAAACTACCAGAAGGAGGCCGAATTTTACTGTCCATATTTTGAGAGATGATAGTTTAGGGCCTTAAATGAAAACATACAAAGTTTGGTTCAGATCAGATTAGGGAATATTGAATTATGGGACAGTAAAGTGGGAAAAATTTTGTGCATGTTCTTATGGGAATGTCTCCCTAATGACCCATCAGTGGAAATTAGTGGTACCCTAGACAGATATTCCGCAGGCAAACCCACGGAATCAGGTACCGTAGTACCCAATTAATCCATGTCAACCTGACGACCAGGGATTCAAACCTGCATGGGCTGCACAGCTGGTGCTGCTAGCATCATTCTTCAAGTTCTTCACTTCCGTTCAAGTCAATTTGTTGTCAGACCTTCGTCACGAGACACCTTGCAATTCGTGTTTACTTTTGTCCGGTACAGGTCGCAATAAAAATAATCGACAAGTCCAGGTTAGACGAGGCCAACCTGCAGAAGGTGTACCGGGAGGTGGCAATTATGAAAATGTTGAACAACCCGCACATCATCAAACTTTACCAGGTGAGAGCCTTGGAGGGGATTAGTTGTACAACATCTTGCATTGGCCGTGCCTATACCGGTAGCATACCAGTACCGGTGTAGTTGGGACTTTCAAACTTTTAGTCCTCACGTACATGACGTACAATGCAAGTACATATACAGTACGTTCATGACTTATTGCTGACTTCATCCACCTTGAGTAGATGCACCCCTCCCCATCTGTTAAAAAGAGCCATATTGGTCGGGAGCGACCGTAACGCGTGCATTTCACAGTCGTTCATAAACCAGGGAATTGCAGTTCCCACCAAAGGAGCCTTCGTTGACAGGAAGCTTGTGCCCTCTCTTAGTTGGTCCGACTCAGGGCTCCCAATAGTTCGATGGCTCATGCTATTGTGACCTGTAGTGGGAATCAAACATCACCAAACATTGCATCCTCCCACAAAAAAGTGTGTTATAGTGGTACGTCAGTGTAATTTCCCCAAAATAAAGTTGACTGTCGGTAGAGTGCTGAGACAGTGAAACTGTACTGCCGTTGTGTGTACTGTACTGTCAATTGACATTCGGCATCAATGGTACATGTAGTTTGTGGTCTCTGTATACACTGTACATGTACTTCAGCCAAGTGAAATTGATTTCAAGGTGAGACTCTAAACACAGAACTTGTTTCATGTTGTTTTTGTTCTCTTGTTTACAACAGGTCATGGAGACCAAAAGCATGTTATACCTCGTCTCAGAGTACGCTAGCAACGGCGAAATGTTCGGTGAGTAATTTTATTGTGCGGGGAGGGGAAGTTTGTCTAAAAGACATCTCAAATTTGAGAAAGTGCACAGTATGTTGTAATACACTGATATGTTTGACTATCGAGGGGAAATACCAGTACAGCCGAACCTCGTATGATTGTTAGTACAACATTCTTTTCATAACAAGGGAATTTCTAGGTCCCTAGTAGTCTTTGTTCTTCGTTGTTTTCTTTCCTGGTAATGCAACGTTCCTGTCATTACAAGGCACCACTAATCTGTAAAGTCAGAGGGACCTTTTTAAGGTTCAACAGTACTGTAGTTTTTATCTAGTTGTTTACAGCATAAGAAGTGCTTTATCTACTTTACTGGCATGCACTGAATGGTTCATTATGTGACCCATAATACCAAAACCATGCTGAAGAATTATGAGCCATATTACATATACCTGATTACTGTACATGTCTGATGTACATGTACATGATACCCATACGTGTAAACCTAGTTTTTTTTTAGTGACAAAGAAGGATCACTTTGAAAAACAAGAAATTCAGCCGAATGTTTATTTACTGATGATGGTACATGTACGATGGCTTTCCATTCAATTTTCCACTGACAATACCCAATATATGTACACGTGTAACTGTGCACTATACATGAATGCGTGCATGACGTTGTTAATGCAGTCGTATACATAAATCATCCACCTGTACTTACCAGCCAGTCTTCCCTCCAATTAAAAGAACAAAACAGAGAAGTGTTGTTTTGCGTTGAAATCTCCTGAAGCCTGACGACAGTTTCACAGTTGAACAATTCACTTGACATTTTTCTGTGGTTAACATGGTCAATATTGGCGCAGTATTTCTGAGTTGGACATATTTTCCAAACAAAGTTTTAAGTTCCTTCGAACACGGCTAATATCTTAACCTGTAGAGTGCATTTTGTCAGAATGATTCAATTTCACACTGCCCTTTTAAACTTTTTAATGACCCTTTAAATTTCTAACTGCTTCTCCCTATTGGGTTTGGCTTTAACATGTTGTATAGATGCACATCGATCTGTCTGCTTTTTATTGTATTACATGTACCTTTGTCTTTTTGGTTGTCATTTGGGGCTGTGTGCCTGCTGGCAATAATGATTAGGTTCACTTTCTCACCTCCTGTCATCTTGTTCTCTTTGTGTATTTTTGTGTTGTCCTGTGTGATGATGACAAATAAAATAATAATAATAATTGGCAATTAATGAAAAATTATTTAAATATTTTACCACAGTTGTGCGTCACTCAGTGCATACCACTGACATGGTATGGATTTGTACATAAAATGTATACATGTACATTGTAAATGTACATGCACACATTCGCATGCAAGCATGCAGTACTTTATATTAAAATAGTCTGGTGTCCCAAAAGTCATCACACAAGGTGTACATTTATATCTTTCATGGTCAGTCTGTGGACCGCACTTTGGCACATGTACATGTACAATGTACATGTACATGTATGCAAGGCAGCCCTGCAGAATACTTCAAATTTCTTTCCCGGATGAAACCCTGGCAAGTTTTGCGTCATCGGCTGGTATATTGCCGCTGCAAAGCCACACCGACCCTTCCGTTCCGTGAATTTCCGTCAATTCAGACAGGAATGCTAAACATCTTTTTTTTTCAGGGGTTGGCCATTTACTGCAGACCGGATATGGCAAGGGATCATATCTTGTTCATGTTGATGGGGAGGGGGAGATGGTTCCCTCAGCGATGGCGTACATGCACAATGCACAAGGGGCACGGCGGCGCGCCTGGAATCTACCGCGTAATTTGGTAGGAATCTGAGAAATGGGTTTTTCAGACTTGGCCTGCTTAATGCATCAAAAGAGGCTGCAGCTGGGATATCCTCTTTTTTTTTGTCCGTAGCTCTCTCGCGTAAAGTACTTCCTGTCCATTTGGAATTTCATTTTATGGATAAGAAATGTTGCATGTTACGTTCTACACATGTACATGTGTGCAATGGCGAATGGCGGGACGATGGCAGCCATGCCTCCCCCCTAAAAAAAATGCAAAAATAATTAAAAAAAAAACAAAAACAGGCAATTAGAGAAAGGGAAATTTTTGTCTGTTCTCTTTCCATTCCTTCATAAAAAATGTGAAAAGCCCCCAAATGTACCGGCAACCCGGGGGTTACCGGGGGGGATAGCCTCACTCCCCAGAAAGGCCATAAAAGATAACATCAACAAATTCCAAAACCTTGATGTCCCCCAAAACAAGTTTAAGTTTGGCTCCCTAGAAAATTTGGTTCCAAATGCTCTCGCGTTCATGCATATTTCTTTTTTATGAAATCTTCTCTGACAACGAAGCATTAATTTTATTTCCATGAAATTTTGCAATTATCTACAAATATATTTCCCTGCAAGACACTACAAGGTTTACTTTTTAAAATTTCCATGGAAGTCATGGTATTTCCAACTTACAAGAAATTGTAACCGGTCCCTTACTGTGTATTTCATGATTAACGCTTGGGCGGGGAACCGGGACAAACAAAGATGCAGATCAGCAAAATGATCTGGCACACTCAAAAAAAAAGTCTAAAAGTCTCACTTGTGAGATTTGTCAGAATTTCTTCATCAGGATTCGCCTGTTTGTTCAGGAATTTTTCCAACAATTGGGAAAATGCTGAGACCGCCATGGAGGTGCTTCAATGGGTGCCTTCATACAGTGGGCAGACACAAATGTACTGTGGAATTTTTCAAACACTGTGTGTGATTTCTATTCCATGTATCAGAAACAAGTGTATAGAATGGGTATAGATGCTGATGTGGAGCCCCTCAAAACCTCTGGTGATTATTTTGTGGATGTGGATATTTAATTTTCCTCCAATCTCCCTCCTGATTGCGACGGCACATCCTCTACATGTACATGGATGTACAGTGTATTTCCAGTAGATCATGTGCACTGTATACATACATACATCTACCAGTATTTAATTTTCCATGATGATACATGTATACATGTACGTGTACATGTTCTGTTACCGGTACGTGCACGGTAGATCTACCGATTATTCATTATAAGAATGGGAAAAGCTGTCTGTGAGAACATTCCTCAGATGTGCATCGGCCTTTTCCACTTGAATTCAGACAGGCAGAGTTACCGTTGCCATGGCTCCGTTGGACAGGTCTCGGCCAATTCCTTCAGCCTTATATTCTTGCCACAGCAGCGATGGCGGCCCTGCCGTGTTTTTGGTCACTAACGCTTCCCTGTTCTCACGGCAACAGATTACCTTGCCAACCATGGCCGCATGACGGAGAAGGAAGCCCGGAAGAAGTTCTGGCAGATTGTCAACGCTGTCCAGTACTGCCACGAGAGGAGAGTGGTCCACCGAGACCTGAAGGTGGGTGGAGGGGGCGTGGTTAGCGCTGATGGAAGGAGGGGGGGATTAACTTGAGGACCATGCAATTGTGCATGCACATTGCACTGTACATGTTCAACCTGACTGTATGAACATGTACACCAACAGACATACATATACATGTACATATGTACTTGCTTGGGCAAATATGCCGATTTCAGAACGATTCACATAAACCCTAGCGAGTTAGGGCGAATAAAGTTATGAGCTGTGAATCTAAAGGAGAGAGTAGTTTTAATGCACACTTATGGAACCGTGCCTCTCACAGCCTCGTTTTGCTCATACTGTACTTAAAACCTTCTTATACGGATAGGGTTTGTGTATACCAGGTTTTCCTGTTGTGGACACTGCCTGCATCTGGGGACCCCCTATTGTTCCTCTTTTGTTTGTACTTAAACTTTTTTTAGAAGACCACCCATATGTTTTGTACACAGCTGTCAATCGGGGACTCTCTGTCAGTTGGGGACCTTATTGTCCTCTATCGGTCAGGGTCCCCAATTGAATGCAGAAACAAACTCACATACACTGTAGTTTTGGAAACTTCATTTGACCTCATACTTTTTGACATCCACGACTGAATACTGTCGGATGGGCCCCCTGCAGATCCAGTGTGAATTTGTCAAAACTCCATGACTAAAGAAACCTCAAAAAGGGACTTTCTTGGCCCAAATACAGGTTCCAGGACAAATTTTTGCATTATAACCTGACTCACATGTATACACTGTACATGTTCATGTATGTATGGGTAATTTTTTATACATGTATACAAGTACGTATGTACAATGTACATGTGCTTATCAAGTGAGCCCCATTTACCTTTGATGTCCCTTCCAATGTCCAATAAACGTGGAATGAAAGCACAGTTCATCATGCGCCACAAATCTTTCAGAATCAAGGCCCCCAGGGCTAGTCAAACATAGCTCAGGATAAACATGTTAAATGTGTGGCAAAAGTTGTTTTTCTCAATTTGAACTAACTACAGAATGTTCTACAGGGTGCAAAACAAATATGAGGGGAAAAAATCCCCGGAACCGTTTGACGTCAGCGCCGTAATAATAAGCCAGCACCGGCTGACCCCAACACTCCTGTTGCCCTGGAAATTCTTGGATGTGCAAATGTGGGGGGTGGGAGGGAGTTCTGTATGTATACCAGCATGTGGTCCTGTCATTTCTTTGGCTTCTTGGCAAAACAGGGATCAGAACAACTGAATCCAGACTTTAAAGTTATGGGTAATTCGGGGGTCCATTTTTTTTCGTGCCCCTGTCACGTGACTTTGTTACTTCAGAACACATTTTCTGATTACCAGGAGTGATGGATTAATGCAAATTACCTGCCAAACAAATACATGTACATGTAGTTAAATAGTTTGACATCAATTCCAGTGATATTTCCGAGTCAAATAACAAAGGTTAGATGGGAAGTTCATGCCCTCTCTTGTCCCCACTCGGAGCAGAATTTCATTTTGACAGTTTCTGTTAGTGCATGTACCGTGACTTTGTTATACACTCTGTTATGACCATCACCAAGTGCTGCTAAATGCTTGTAACTTCCCACCAGGCCGAGAACCTGCTCCTGGATGCCAACATGAACATCAAGATCGCCGACTTTGGGTTCAGCAACTTCTTCACGCCGGGGGACCAGCTGGCGACATGGTGCGGCAGTCCGCCATACGCGGCACCAGAGGTCTTCGAAGGGCAGCGATATAGTGGGCCACAGCTCGACATCTGGGTGAGTCCTATATATATACTAAGTACAATTTTGCGTGATTTTCTGCGCAGAGTCGATGACTTTGGATGGAAAATATGAAAAAATCTTGTTAGGTAACATTGTCCAATAGAGTACAGGTACATGTACTTGCAATCGAGAAGAAAAATGAAAAATAAAATTAATACTTTGTAAAATTTTACGTAAATGTTTGAGTCAATTTACAATATTAATAGGTTTAAGATGACAAAATGATGACTTGCAGTTGGGGATTGAACCCAGCTGCGCGCTCGTGCATCATGTGATCTCAGGATGCGTGCACTATCCAATACACCACTGAACCTTTGTTGGAATTTAATGTAGTGGTCATAACCTTTATACATGTAGGCTTTATACTTGTGTGTACATATGCATCAAAGAGGGCGCTGTCTACTCATAGCCAGCTAAATACTATTCATTAAAATTTAGCCAGCAATGGCTAAATATCCACTGTTTTACATATTTTTTTATGGGTAATCCACAGAATTAATGTGAAGCTTTATTAACACAGGAGGAACAAAACATTGGCAGAAGTCTCACACTTTTTTACTACAGTGCGTGTAGCCTAGAAGTTCTGTTTCTACAATTGTTAATTATCAAATTAAAATCTTAAGTTGCATTAATTGATGTGTGCACACCGGTACTGTACATTATACGTGTCCTTGAATAGAAAAGCACAGTACAGAAGAAAGTCTTTGTTTCATCTCGTCTGCACTTTCATTCTCTGAGAATCGACTTGGAAAGCTCTTACAGGTAGCCCTATACAGTGTGCCGGCAATGAGTAATGCTCACTTGTACTGTGCAGGGTACCGTACATGTACCTGTTTCACCAGCCTTGTGTGTACCCAGATGGGGCCTGAAATGTCAGCCCTGCATGCAAAATGGAGACTATTGATCCCACTGAGCGTGCCCAATTTACACAGCCTCGTCAGGCCCATGGTGGGTGAGCTGTCAGCATTATCAATGATATCGAAACACAGTAATGGGGTACACGTGTGTGGTATTAAACTGAACAAGCACACGTGCACAGTGGCAGGCTGTAAAATTTGTCATTAGGGAATACATTGAAATATCGATCATACTGTACAATGTGCATGCTTAATGGTCCATATTGCTTAGATATTTCTTAAAATGCCTGCACTGGTATAGTACGGTACTGGTGCACATGTTCAGGTGTAGACGCACAGAATAAAAGAAATTGAAAACAGGGCCTACATAAATTACATTGTAACTACAAAGAGAGGAAGTAGCCAGTTCGTGACTTTGTTGGCTATATGGTATGCCACACTGATCATTTATGACTGAAGCCTTGTCCATGCTTCACAGGTATCTTACCCTAATGAGCCAGCTTACTACAGGTACGGTACATGTACCGGTACATTCCGACAGCACGCACCAAGAACGGAAGCGCATCCCAGGTCATTCTGGAACAGTAATTACTGTACCCTTGTGCCAGGTCTGCCCAACAGACACGGGCTTTGCACTAACTTGCACGTGTGTGCGGTTTCATTGTTCTTGAATGACCTCGCCTTCAAATACCGACCTAGCTCCTCCCATCCTCCTCAGCTGCCCTCCCACCCCACATTCTCCTCCCATTTTGTTTTCAAACATGTACCGGTAAATGTACATGTGATCTGGTCTGGAACAGGCAACTTTATAACCAACGTTGACTACAATCAAGATGCTGTACATATGAACCTGTATGGTGAAAATGTATGACAAGAGAAGCACTGGTACATGTAAATGTCCAATTCTCATTTGTTTGCTCAAGAAAAAGCACACTATACTTGCTGGTTATCTGTAAACCTGGACAAATTTTAAAAATGTTTGTACATACATGTATGATGTGTTTAGAAGTTCTTTCAAATGGCGAGACTGTAACTGATAACCAGCCATGAGTTCACTTTACTCTAAAACCACTTGAAAATTTAAAGAGATTATTTTTAGTCTCTGTGTAGTGGCGAGCTGACATAAAATCGTGAATTTCTTTTGTTCGAGAGACAAACAAAATTGATAATGTCGCTGAAAGTCGGCTTGTTTACACGGCACTTATACAATGTACGTGTGGGGTATGGATCCCCAAGAAACTGCACGAGTGGGTGTAGGTAATACATGGATACACACCCAGATGAACTGTTGACATTTTACTGTGTGTTGATCGAGCGCTGCATTGGGATATGGCGTGAGGAGCGTTGAGGGCTTCAGGGTGTTTGTGGGAGCCGGCTCGCCATCTCACACTGATGGAAGGTGGTTCGGGGTACAGCAAGGTTGGGGGGGGGGAAATAGAAAGATGTGGGGGCGGATGAAGGAGTGGGTTTGCGTTTGCCGATTCAAAACAAGTGCATGAGATGTAGCACAGCGGTAGGCCCCACCCATTTGTTTTGTTTGTCCTTTAAAAAAACAAGCCTTCATTTTTTTAGAGTATTTGAAAGGAAAATGAGTACAAAAAAGAGTCAGCAAAGAAAATGGCAACTGTAGTGGATTACTGGCCTTCGGTGTTCAGATGCACAATACAGCCGTTTCGCAATAGTGCGCCGCCAAGAGTTTGCAACGTGTTGGCCAATCACAATGCGTGAAATCTGTCGACCTAATGCGCGTTTGGAAAGGGTCGACAAATTTCGTCAATGACAGATTGGCCAACGCATTGCAAACTCTTGGTGGTGCACTTTTGTGAATCACCCATATTGTATACAGCTCAGATGCACAATTTTTATAAGTTATTCATTCTAAGATACCGGGGGTATGAAATGTTTCCACTGCCGTTACGAATGTACATGTACAGTACATGTACATGTACACTGCACTGTACCCACTGCAGTACCTGTTACACATGTACTGTGTGCAAACTGCAAATCTGCAATGCTAACAAGTACTGTACATGTACCTTGAAATGACCAGAGATAAATTTAAAAGGCTCTTCTGTTGAGAAGGTGTGATTGTCCCGGTACTTTCTTTGGATTTGACCTGAAGCATTTGAAGGGACTCAGTGACATGTGCATTTGGATGAAGGACCGTCCTTCATGCATGAAACGGTGCACTGTCCATGCAGAACAATTGCATTCTGAGTTTGTTTTACAAATTTGCATAATGAGTTCATGTATACCGGTACATATAAAAATGTAAAAAAAACTTTTGCTTTTTTTCCTGTGATAAGTATGTACAGTATGTAATTTTATGTTTCCTAATGAGAACAATCACTGTGAACATGTATAAATTTATAAGCCATTACGGCATGCCGTACATATGAGCATGATAAGTATTTATGTACATGTATCCGGTACACACATACTGTACATGTACATAGTCTTTGTACATGCTGCAACCTGTGTATTGAGCATGTCATTTGTGCTTTTCAAATTTTTTCAGCCTAAAATAAATTTCATTTCATAAAATGTGCGTGACCTTACTGTGTATTTTACTGGTTCGTGTACATGTATATGTAAGGCCTCATACATTATTTTGCTATGCATGCATTTCCAAGCCCAGTGGCCCACTCTTACCCAGCTTATAATGGAATTGCCCACAGGGCCTCCACCACCCATTGACGTCATCACCCATTGTTATTGGTTGGCTAAAAAAACATGGCCGATTCTGCCTAGCAACCGGATCCCAATTTACCGTACTGTAAATGTACCCGGTACATGTATGTGTGCCATCCAGGCACACTGAATTTCTCTTGAATTCCCATAGTTTTTTCTTCTAGTATTCTTTTTTTTCTTCTCTAGAACTCTTCTTTTTCCTTGCTATCCTTTACTATACATAGTTAAGGTTACCACGGCGACCAGATGGGAGCCTCTTGGAAATGCTGCAGCAGACGGCAAAATCTGAAGAGCAAACAATGGGGAGCTCAGTTTTTCGGGGTTGGTTTTTTTGGGGGGGGTTGAGTATGTAGGGTTCTTTAGTAGAACTTAAAGTTTGTTGACATTGTACATGTATGTACCGGTACATGTACAATGTACACTATGCAGAACATTCTAAGAACTACGGTATCGCATAACTGTATATTTATAGCGTGTGTTCTGTTGTTAGGAAAAGTTTATTTATTCAGTGTGCTTGTACCGATACACGTAGGCTGTACATGTACCGGTGCCAATGTCCGTACATGTACAGTGTTTGTGTGCGTCATTTAATGGAAATGTTATTTTTGGGAGTGTGAAGTTGCTGTTCATAAGTACCTGCATGTGCACAGTTGATCACAAACATTGTTTTTCAGTTTTGAGAGTTTTTCTCTGCGTCACTTTTTCAGGTAAATGTACATGTAGGCTCATTATATTTTTATAACGACACAGTTCATTATGATCACCATCCACTATCCCCCATGCATGTACAGGTAATTAGGTTTAACACCATAAGTACTGGTAATTGGAAGATTTTCCTATAAAGTCCTGGTACTTTAACCCCTTGACGCCGGGACTTTTTTCTGAAAGCCGACGCAGAAAATTCCAGCCTCACTTCGCCACGAAGGCCACCTGCCAAACTGCAAATTCTCGGTTTGTGGCCCTGCGTGCTCTGCACGCTTTGATTTACACGGTGAAAAGGCTCATTGTTTGGTGGCATGCGGCTCTACTCACGCTTCCACATTCCCATTGCCTCTTTTCAAAGTGGGGACTATTGTGAAGCTAGTGATTATGATGCGAATTCGGCCTTTTCATTTCTTGGCTACACACAAAGACCAATTACCATATACACAAGAGCCAGGGTCTGCCTTCTTTCACCGTGTTCACTCAAGCGTGGACCGAGAATAATAGCTGAAAAGCGGGCTGAGGGATCTCAATTTTTACAGCGGCTCTTACCGCTTCCCCCGCTTCCCCGGTGTGAAGGGGTTAAGGGCTCATAATCAGGCTTAATCTTACTGGGATGAGTAATGCTTACATGTACATCACATTGGGATAATAAATGTACAGTTTCATGTATTTCCAGTCTTGATCACATACATGTAGAGTACCGAAGTGTGATGTCACTTTGAACCAGAAAGTGCAGTGCAA